ATAATTCATTTAAAAATCAGGTGTTGGGTTTAAAAAATACTTGCATATGTCTATAATAATTTTTTTGTCCATTTTTTGCACTAAAGCGCCCAAATTTGTCCAAAATTTGATTTTGATACCAATAAAGTAGATTTTTAAATGGAACAGTATTTTGTAACATTCGTTTTCGAATTCTGTGCTAAATTCTACTAAAATTCTAATAAAAATAATTCGAAAATGGATTAAAAATACTGTTCCATTACAAAAATCAATTTTGGCATCAACATTCTTTTACGCACCCTGTATATTTTCTCTTTAGTGCAAAATATATACAAGAGAAAATTATGATAGACGTGTGCAAGCATTTGTTTTTAATCCAACACCTGATTTTTAAATGAATTCATTCCATATTTTAGCCGCTCACTGTATACATCCATTTTCTGAACTGAAAATACGCTCTTTATTTTTTAAAATGCACATTTAGTAAGAGGGCTCTCATAAGTAAGTTGCACTATTTTTTTAAATCCGTGTCTTAGGGAGGAACGGTCTGGGAGTCGCGGGGTACTTCTGTCTGAGTGTAGTGTGCAGTGTGTAGTGTAGTATGCATCGATCCAGTGAGCTGTCAAGTTGCAACAAGTATGGAAACTCCACTTGCGACTTATGTGGTGAAGACGTTATGTCTTGTGTCAAGGCAAATGGTTTCTCATTTCATTAAGCGTTAGGCGCCGATCGGTGTCAATGACCCTTTGGACATCTTCGATATCTTTGAGAAACCATATGCATTCACCAGAGACACTACACAAATCGCGATGAATTTCAGTCACATTTTTATTTGGCGCAATCTGCGGTGAAAGCAAGTAGACTCTCCATACTTGTTGAAACTTGACAGCTCACTCGATTGACGTTCACGCATAGGAATTTTACAGTGCTGCCACTACACCCAGGCGCAAATTTCCAGTGACTCCCAAACCTTTCCCACTTTCCACACGGATTAAAAAAAAAGTGCAACTTCGTTATGAGACAGTCCTCGTAATTACGAGTCACCGAGAAACGATTTTGATTCATTCATGGGTAGCTAGATTAAAAAATTAAAAATCCATTTTCCCCCAACCTCGTATAAATTTGCGAAATCAACGTATCAAAAAAATATACAAGGTGTTTCTATTACTTTGGTTCATACACGATGTTATGTTATGATATAGATTTTTGGAGAAAATCTAATGCTCTACAATTTTCTCACTGTAGATATTTCTTTAAAATGGAAGAACGAGGCACTTTTCAAAAATTCTCAGCTTTCAACAGCCGTAATATCAAAAACAAGACATATTCAAAAAACATTTATAAGAGCTAAAGTGTGTACTAGATAAAATACGCTATTCTCTTCATATCAAGAGTATTTTCGATACCGATAGCCACGCGTCTGTTACAATATAAAAGCGAAAAAATGAAGAATGGGACGTTTTAAATTGTTTTCTAAACAAGTATTGGTCTTGATATGATGTAATGTAAAGGAATAGATTGGTTGATTGCAGTTCCCTACATTTATTTTTTTCGTAGTAAAAGGTCAATCGTCTTTGTTCGTTAATCAGTTAGTCAGGAGTCTTGGAGCCTTGGAGTCTGTTTACAATCCTAATCCTAATCTTAATCCTAAGAATTATATTAGATTACGTTAGGTCATGCAAACCTTGAGTATCTTGAATCGCGCGGGATTAATTAACGACCCTAAAATCATTTATGATTGGTAGTAATATAAGAAACGATTAAACATGTCGGTCGGGTTTAGTGATCTGCCATTTTATAGAGGAGTGGGAATTAGTTTTGCAGAAATGTTTTAATTATTAACTTCTATAGTGCGGAAACCTACATGTCATGGCAACAAAAAAAGTCATTTGGTTTACGAAGCGACCGTAAAGGATTCTTATTCAAAAGAGTTTAAATTCGGCGGTTTCGGGCACGTTGCGAGCACCCGATTTAAAGAATTAGTTTCCTGACCAACGTGAAAAATATTTGGAGTAAATCCGCTCAATAAAAAAGTTACCCAAGAACTGAAAACTAAATTAGTGAGGGAAGTTTAGCGATTTCAAAGGAATGAAGTTCTCGTTTTGGTGAAATGTCGTATATCGACACTTACATTGTGGAATATTTACAAAAAAATGAGAGGTCTGGAGCTTTTCGTGAACACCATAAAATACCAGAAACTCGCAAGAGATTCCAAAAGATTTTTTGAATTCGTTTGATAAATTTCGGCAGATAATGTAAAGATGTCGGGGCTTTTAATGTATTTGACTTTTCAGCGCGGCGTATTTTGGAAGTTTAACGATCAAATAAATCCGGAGGTCGGGTATTCGAACCTGGGTTGAGGTGAATTTTTCATCTGTGGCAGAAATGGAAATTACCTTAGACCAGTTCCGAGCATTCTACCGGCTACTCCGAATTAGGTTTTCCTGCAGTTTTCCTAATTCGTAAGGTAAATACCGGAGTAGTACAGAACAACTTAAGACCTTCTGCACCTCTAAAAAAATTATTATGCGAGTCACTCTGTAATTGGGCACACGCCTGTTGAGGGCCCAAAACAAGAGAGGGATAATAAATAAATAAATAAATGTAAAAAATTACCGTTTCAAATTCAAGGAATGAAGAGTACATATAAAAAGGATTAAAGAGCGTGCAAAGAATGAAAATTGTTAGAACAAATTACTCCGCACTTAACTCCAGACACAAACGCTGACAGCTTTTGAACTTCACATTTCTTTAACACACAAATATTGGTGACAAACGAACTGAATTGGTGAATACCATGACAAAAATTGTCGGAGGCTGTGCGAACGGTATAAACTTATAATTTTTAAACAACAGAACCTCAACAGAAGGCCCCACGTTGCACTAGAATTGTTTCTTTCACTTCGATTTTGCTAACTTTTTCCAAATACGGGCCACATGTGTTGAAACTTTCTTCTGTACAGAAATATTATGAAAATAACGTTTTCAATAAATGAAATAGGGTGAAACGCCAGAATAAAAATAGCGTAAAGAAACGTACGCTTTTCAACCGTCGCGAAACCAGCCTCTTGCTTCCAGTATTTAAGAAAACACCACTTCCATAATAAACTACATCTCATAAATCTCATAATTAATATAGCCATGATAACGCCAGAGCATCGCGAGTTTCCTCTTACGTCGAACTAATACACATTTATGGCATATTTTGATAAATCTTCGGCATCTTTAAGTAACGAATGAATTTTTGGTTTCCTGCATAAAACATACGAACTCATCAGCCACCTTTTTCACTACATCGCTGCACTTACCAAAATCCATTCACTGCAACAAGTTGTGCCCACATCTACTGCACGTTGCAAATTGAATTACAAACTTGCTCATCCTGTTCACAAGTAGTTTTACACGCTAACTGTAAAACTTTTTGTCTGAAAATTCGAATTAACTGTGCCCTTTGTGTACCTAATGCACAATGTAGCTTCTATTTTAATAGAATAGATGAAATTCAGTTTGCTTTGTGAGTTAAACCTCAACCGCTAGTTTCTAGATAATCCATTTTACTTTACTTTTCATTGGGTAATCCCGCAAAGTATACGCTTCGGGGTGTATTCACCCTTACTTGCAATTTTAGATTATGAAAGCTTACTAACCTGAACGACAATCGCTTCTCATTAACGTTTAAACGTTACGAAAGCTATTGAGGATGCGGGAAAAAAGTAAAAGTGCCTATTATTATACGTGTCAAAAAACTTCCTAAGCCGTTATAGGTTTTAAGGGAGATTAGGACAAACATCGGGACGCGTAACGTCTATGGGTTAAGAACATATTATTTAAAATGCCCCAGTCTGCCTTAAGGCTTTTGAGCTGAAACCGTCGTTCAATTTCCTCTTCGTTCGGGAAATCAATTCAGTTTGTTTGCGTACTTTATACCAAGCGTATTATTATGGAGCAGGTGATATGTGAAATCGCTGCATAATTTTGACATGATTGGAATACAGAAACGAATATTGCGTAAGGCAACTTTAATAATTGAAACCGGAGTCGGTTGTGTACGATCACGTAGGGATCGTTCTGTGTGGTTTTTATTGAACCTTTTCCAATAATATCAATATTAAGGCGCTAGAAATGTGATATTCCAATCTAATTAAACTTCTCAGTCTTGGGGATACGGTTACGGGATTTGTCCGCCTTTAATCTGGTAATACTAATTTGTCAATTAACATTCATAATCTCCCCTGTTATTATTCATGTGCAAAGTGCAGTCTATGTAAATTGCATGCGCTCTTTAAGCTCTCCGATTTATTTAGCGCTTTAGTTGTGGTGTATTACCACTTGGGTTTATAAGACGATGGTGTACTATAATATGTTTCTACTGTATGGTGCAAGCTGTACAAATTATTTACACTTTTGCGCGTTGTGTTCCTTATTTACCACACTTGTTTACTGGTGTTTTGTTTCACATGCCCCAAGCCATCTTTTGATTAATTCCGCCTACAACTAATTCTTCCCACACAGATTTCTATCGTATTGTATCGGGTATCCCAAACATCGGGGCGCCAGCAGGCTTTCCTTAAAATATGATACGCCCACTAGACTTTGTGGAGAACGTTTCGTGACTTTTTCTGGAAAGTTTCCGTTTGCTATATAAACAAATTAAAGCGCGTTTAAGTTCTAATTTCGACGCTGAAGTGATGAATAGTTTCCGCTCGTGTTATATCTTATAAATTTGTGTACAAGTGAGTGATAAATAATACTTAACTTATCAATCAATCCATTTAAGGACTTTTATAAATTCGTTATTAATTAATTGTAAATAAATAAATTACTAACCTCTAACCGTTTAGTTGTAAACAGTGGTTAGTTTTAGAACACTTTACGGAACGATGGAGGCGATTTTGCCAAAATTTAATCACACCAAGACGATTTAACGAAACTCTTATAAAACATTTAGCATCCCCAGACCACGTAGATAGATAAATGAAACATAATAAAAAATAAGAATAAAAAAATACAAATTCACTTACCAAAAGTTACATATTCCAACCAATAGGCCACCTGATTACATCTGAAACAAACAATAAAACATGAAAATGAAAGAATGGAATACTTATAGCTACATTTTAACCTAATGTTACGAGTTAAAGAAGAATTTTGAAGATACGTTAGTTGGTAACCTTGGGGTTGTTTCAATGAGGATCACAATACACAAGCCCTTATAGAAAGCTAATTGCTTAGATAATTTTGGCCCTTAGTTTTTAGAGTTGAATTGTGAAATATTTTTTCAATTCTGGTTCTACAAAAGTTCCACAATCAAAGTTATCATTTTCCATTTTTGTTCTAATTGGATTCGGCGCGTTGTATATTCGAACGGTAGGCGCGGAGGGTCATCCAGGAAGAACTAGCAAAAACCATTTAAAAAAACGAACGCATGCCGGCTGTAAAGCTGTCATCATCACCGAGGTACTACTTAGTACCAATATTGTAAGTGATTCTAAAAAGTTTAATGGGGCGGTCTCATACTTTTAAATATTAAACCTTAATAATAATCTTGTAATATTGGTATATATTGGCTAAGATCTGCACCTCTTTCTTTAGCTATTTGATGTGGTTTAATAGTTTACCGAGGTGATACGCCGAGATCAACTAAACAACCAAAATTTCAAATGGCGACCTTAAGATTCCAAAATTTAAAAAATAAAAAAAAGAATTCGTGGTAGAAGGAAAACTGAGATGATCGTTGCCAAGCTCTTAAAAAATCTTCTAGCAAACAAGATTCGACTAAAAGGTATAACATAGCAGAATATGTATCGGTTGTCACTCCCAGAGTACTTAATGCCCTTAATTCGGTTTCAGTACGATCATATAACTAGAGAGACTGGGTTTTTGATTAGGAGATAATGCCTCATTTAATACTAAATTAAGAGACAAGTCTTTAATCACGCGCAACAAGTTTATTGGCCTGGTAAACGTTGCAAGTGCAAGTGCAACGTGTTTCTTATAGTATTTTTTTTATTATACCTGCAATATAATTTAAAAGGGAAATAAAATAAAATCATATTGTCTAATTAAGTGGGTTGGATTGATCTGTCGTAGATAATCACCTATTTATTATATTACCACAGCAAACAGAAGACTGATATAGGTACTATGCGAAGTGCTGCTTCATCATCCACCCCTTTCTGGCGAATAGCATAGATACTACGCAATGAACTGCGTGTCAATTCAGGGTAGGAATTCCAACGTATCCTAATACAACCACAAAACTCTGATGGAATTACTATTACATAATTCACCTAACAAAGAGATTGGTACGAGTATATAATTTTTGCTACAAAACGGCTGCAATCCCGCAATATTTTATAAAGTAGAAAAGTTGACTTACTATATGCAACTTATATAATTTTCCGTATATCTTGGTATAATAAAGCAGAAAAGATGATAAAATAAGAACTAGAATATTGAAGTTCAAAAGAACCTTTCATGTTTGGGTTTGTTGAGTGTAACTAAAACTTTCTGTAACGATACACGTAATTATTATGCCTTTAGCATAGAAAAGTTTCGAACCATAAACATTTAATACAGGATGACGTACGTCATCGTGTTAACTTCCGAACTTACCTACTCCGCAACCCTTTATTAATGTGAATTATGAAACAAAATTTTAGCTTTTCAATTTCAAACTTTCGGACGGGCTATAGCGGTTACACTAACTCTAATGAAAGGTTTATGTTGCTTTCGTATAATTATGTAGCGGGCGTCGTCCCCATTTAAAATTGCGAAAATTGAGATTTTGTTAACAAACTTTTAATTTCGAAATCGGAAAAGCAAGTTGGATAACGGTTCGATAACGAATGCATTTCGGAGGGTGACTGTCAGGAGGTTTAAATTATTGCCTTCAAGCTCAACTTTTAAATCGATACTTTAGAGGACATACCTACAAGTCCATTATTATCTATTCTATCAAAACCAATGTACCGGTTTATCATAATTTCTTTTTATATTTTCCTGAGATTCTTTAAAAATCAATAAAGAAATAAAAACACTCTTTCTCATTACCGCTGTTATAGTTCTACAAGATGCAAAATTGCAATACCATACGGATTCTAAGATTTCCGAAATCTTGCTGTTCATTTTTATCTTGGGCACTATAAAAGGAATTGAGAGTTATTGTTTTTAAAAAAATTACGGTTCTACATGCAATACAAAACGGCTTCAAATTTGCTCCAAGGTTGATATCTTTAAGAAACCACAGATTCAGATTTTCCAAAGTAATTTTGTTAAAACTTCAATCAACTACAAATTACGACAATTTCCCTTAAAGATGTTTAAACCTTCATTTGACATAAGTAAATAAATATCCCTGTACCTCAGAATCAGAATTTCCTTGTAGACAACGCTGTTGGTACACAATAATATGTCCGGAACGTTCGCTTTATAACGATAATGGTGCGGACAATTAACTGATGGCGTTATAAATTGGAAATTTTCCTCCCGGAAACGTTTCTAGGTGAAATTTCCGGTGAAGCAAAAGTTCTATAGGTATAGTTCCTTTGAATGATTAATTTCTGTGTTGTAAGCAACATAAAACTTTGGTATTAACGTTATCACTGAGCGGAAAATTTTACACGTTAAATTTCTAGTAATGAATTCCACAAAGTTCAATCTCCTGTTGCTCAGTAACCACGTTAAGTAACTTAACGGTATTTTCTTGCACTAGTAGTAAAGGAAAATAAATATCCGAATCTAATCCAAACACCAGACCGGACAAACGAGATTTCCGAAACTAATTATGAGGTCGCTGCATATACCGGGTGAATATTCCCAAACCGAACATAGGGAATTAACATGGGAAAAAGGTTTTTTGTAGATAGTTGTTCCCCATGTTAACTTAGAGGGTTTATAATGACACCAAACAAAAGAAGATTTTTTTCCTCGTCCAATGATATACGAATTTGTTCATTTTCAGGTGTATTTCTCACTATTTTATATAAAATTCTGCAAAAAATCCACTTATCAAAATCATGTTAAGAGTCTTCTGTACCCACTGCACCCAATGTAAATTTCCATAAGAGCGGCCGCCATAAAATCAAGTTGTTTTTCAAAAAAAATTTTTTTTAAGAACTATTTTATAAATTTAGGCCTTTATCTACAAAATGTTCGGGCTATTTTTTTTAAGTTTATAGCAACTGAATATCGATTGTTTAAAGATTAGATGTTTTGCATCGATTATTGCGCTAATCTGTTTTATATTTTTACTCTGGAACAAAACGGTTTATGGAAAAGTAAAGCGACAGTTTTTTAGCTAAGTTACTTCTAAACATTACCCCATAAAATGAAATCATATTTTTTTGTATATAAATTCTGTATCTTGGCGGGCGGTAAATCAACAATTTGAGTGTAACAAGTAGCGCCGCTGCACAGTGTCGACGGGAACTAACTAAGGACCAAAAAAGGAGTTGACTAAGCAAGAATAGCATCTTGTTTCTTGCAACTATAATCATCTATACACCATAATGTAAAAAAGTTGCGCTTAGGTAAAGAAGACTCTTAAGCCATAACTATAAAAAAGCAGATTCAAACGTCGAAATAAATATCAGTTTATGACAACTGGTTCACTGAGGAAAAAGTATTTATAATAAACAACGTTTAGAGCGGAATTATTTACTCTAGTAGGTACGCAATATTTGTTTTCCGTGCATTTTAATGAGCGTCCCATTCCGTCTGTGTGAAAACCTATTTCAATTCTTTAGGAAATTTCCATGGCTTAACATGATTTTGCTAATTGGATTTATTGCCAAATTTTTGATAAAATAATGAGAAATATACTTGAAAATAAACTAATTCGAATATCATTAGATGAGAAAAAATTTTTTGACGTCATTAAAAACTCTCTAAGTTAACATGGGGAGCAACGATCGGCAAAAAACATTTTTCCCATGTTAATTGCCCATGTTCGGTTTTAAAATATTCATCCGGTATATAGTAACAAAAACGACCACTAATTCCACCAACTACTTAACTGACTTTTACAATAATTCCACCAAATATAATTTATTGGAAAATTCGACCCATTATTTTTTCACCCTGTGGATTTTCCATGATATGTAATGTCTAAATGGTGCGAATCTTTACAAAAATCCCAATTTGCTTATCTCTATAGAAATTCCTAAAATTAAATTAAGAGCTACCGTTACAATTAGTAAAGTGAAAGTAATCCGATATTTTAAAATTTTCGCTCATATTTCAATTTCGATAATTTTTAGTATGGAATTAAATAAGACTAGGTTTTGAAATGAAAGCCCGGTAATGTGGTCAACTTTTCCAAAACTCGTCCATTCGTTTGGACTAAACTGTCTGCGCCGAAAGTTGGGTAAGATGGAAGATTCTGATTCCCCAATACAATACCTCCCTTACTAACACGTGGGTGGTAAAAACAATAAGACGCAATAACTAATCTCACACAATTATACAAGTTATGCAATCTTGTGGAAACGTTAAGAGATGTAGTATGCATTTGTTAACAATAAAAAAAAGTGCTACTGTTTGACTTTTTTCCGTCCGTCTGCGTGTCTGCGGAATTTTTTGCAATAAGTAGCCCTCGAGGTAGCCTATACCTTGGAGGAGTGGCCTTCAAGTTTTGTCATTCGAATTTGGGTTCGGGCATGGATATTTGTAAAGGTATAGTCAATAGTGGATTGAGTTGGCAGAGCAGCCTTGGCTGAAACCCCGCCCACTCAAAAATAAAGGTTAAAAAAACAAATAAAAAACTACCACCCTTCTTTTTCGTGCCCCTAATAAAAACAGAGGGTTGGAAGGGGAGGGAGGGTTAGTTTTATCCGTCATGGTACTCTAATGAACGAAGAGAATTAATTTCTACCAACCATAGTCCTCCTCCTCGAGCCCTTAACGGAATCTGATATAATTCCTTAGATTCTTTTTGCATTATATAGCGTAGATTTTGAATGTATACCAAGCGGCCTTTAAATGTTTATGTATAAAGATCCCCGTTAATCATTTAGCAAGAAGGTAAACATCGATAAATATAGCATGCTACTACCTTATAAG